ATGTATATCAAAACTCGATAACGACCTAATCTAAGTTTTATAAAGATAATAACAGATGATATTGATTATCCTTCTGGTCCATAATCCTTACTCCGAGGTAACTTGAAAGTGAGTTATTGCCACTTTTGATTTCATCAAATTGTGATAATCAGCTAATTTTCTGTCTCGACAGTTTTAAAATCACTCGTTAGAAAAGTACTTTAAAATGCACGATTTGTTCCACGTGTTTTCTCATTACTACAATACGGCCTTGATATACACTTGTGATAGATTACTTCTCATCAATGCCTCTTCAGAAACAATTAGACAAAGGTATATCATTAGTCTGGAGGTAGAAGAGACCCCTTTAGTCTAATAGACCATTACAAGATTTTGATGAGAGATTACAAAGGGTGTAATGTTTGCCTTACTTTGAATTCACATTTCTGCATAATTATTTTACAATTTCTACGATTAGGAAATACTTTTTCAATATCTCATTGTATCCGTTATCTCTAAAACTCATTTCATCTAAAAAAAAAATAAGCGATCGTTATTTTTAACATTATAGATAATAGTTGAATGCATTAAAAGTTTGAGCTATTACAAAGATACAATGTGAACCAAATGTTTGAAAAGGGTTCGAACTAACGACCTCCTACACCAGTGGCACAGGCTCTATTGATACGATTTATACTCTCAACATCGAGTGGTTATTTTTCTAAATTGCATGATAAAAGTACAAGAACCGTCAAATATATTGCAGAAAACTTTTGTCCTGTACCAAGTCAGGAATATGGCCATTGTTATATTATAGTTCGTTTCTGTGTGTGTTACATTTTAATGTTGTGTTTCTGTTGTGTCGTAGTTCTCCTCTTATATTTGATGTGTTTCCTTCAGTTTTAGTTTGTAACCCGGATTTGGTTTTTTCTCAATCGATTTATGAATTTCGAACAGCGGTATACTACTGTTGTCTTTATTGAAGAATTTATGTCCGAATGATTAAAATTCATTTTGGTAAATCAATGTTTTTTTTGGACGTAGATCTTTGATAGTCTCAATAAATTGCATTCGTTATTTTTCCTAGACTATGAGGGATTAAGAGCTTTACATATTGTACATGAGGCTAAAATAAAAAGAATTGAAGGTAAAATGAAAATGTAATTGAAATGCTGTAAAAATATGCAGCTAAAAAACCGTTATGGTTATTCTAATGGTTAGTTGTTCGATTCTGTGATAATGTGAGTAGGATATGAAATCTACCGACAAATGGTCTTTTGAAATGATAGTATCATATCAAATGTGTCTATACAAATTATATGTTACGACAATTGGAAAAAAGGTTCAGAGGTGAAGGTAGGGTAAGCTATTTATATCAAAATCATATTTATTTCTAACCGCACAAAAATGACTCACTTGTATAGAACACTTAATATACATTTAACTCTATCAGCAATATATTATCAGTTCGATAGGTAATCTAATTCCAACCGACAGTCAAACATCGGCACAGTTTCTTTTATCAAACTACTCTAAATAACACCGTTCAAAAACAAATTAGAGTCGCAAGGTTCAATATTTTTAATGTTGTTACCTGACTCTATATAAATATCTATGTATTGGATTGATGTTGTAGTTGCAGAACAAAGAATAAACAAACAAGAAGCGCTCCGAAGACATTTCATGATGATGTTGTTGTTTAAATTGTAATTTGTATATAACAATGCCTTTGACCACCTTCTTATGTGTGTTATTTGAACTTAATAAAGTAGTTATTGACGAGGCTTATATTATAATAATAATTAGTAGTGCATATTAAACAGGCTTAAACATTTTGTAATAGTTATGGCGATGTGTGGCGAGCGACAAGCTATTTAGCCATAGCGCTAGCATAAGAGGATCTATGTTTCCATATAGGAACATATACTAAATATTTTCTGGTTACGTTACGTATTTCAGTTATCAAAATCCTTTTCACAATTTCAGAACAAATGATTAAATTAAGGGTGATTCGAACTTTATTTAGCCTTTTTAACTATTTTGATTCGAGTCACTCATCAGTCATTTTTAGACGAAACGCGCGTCTGGTATACAAAATTTAAATCCTGGTATCTATGATGAGTTTATTTCCACTGATCAGGGAATAGCCCTTTCAATTATAAAATTCATAATATTTGCAATCATATTTCACATTGAAATATATTTCTATTTTCCAGTGTCTTGAAATTCCAATTACTTTGGTCAATGTTTTAAGCTCCTATTTTACAGAATTTTACATGATTTCTTTTAAAAATATTGTTCATTATCCCTAAATTAAATTCTTTTCCGTACAGAGGTATCTATTTCGTTACTTTTATAACCATTCACTCATATCAGGACTACAGATTTTTTCCCCGATCAGTTAAAACTCAAAAAGTCGGAAGACCACAACAGCTGGTATATCAGTTATGAAAGAGCTTTTGCTTTTTTCATTATACATATCATTTATATTGACTCAGAAATTGGTCGCTTCTAACAGGTTTTTTTGTGATGAATTAAGGACATTATAACGTACTAATTACTAATTTTAAGTTTTCCAATGTAATTAAGCGTTTTATATCTACAAACAAACTATTTCAATAGATACTAAAACCGTGAAAATATCTTTTATTTACATGTTAACATAAATTAAATAAAAACACACCATAAAGATTAATATGAAAGCATAACAAATCTGCAAGCGCTTTATCTGAGCTATTTAGTGCATTGATCAAAGTGAAAGTATCCTTTAAAATTAACAAAGAAACAACATTTCATCTTGTTCCAAGTCTCAAAGTGAAACTTGTAAGATGCATGTATTATAAAATTACTTTCATCTCCAATTTATGTGTATGTACAAAGAAGTTGTCTTTTGAATATATATTTGATATAAATTATATATTTCTAAAACTTGTAATCTTATTATCATAGAAAAAAAGAACAAACTTAATGCTTTTGATGTAAAATACACTGAAATAATTCATTTTGTTTTGATCAAGATATGAATACAAGGCCGCTTTATCAGTTCTGCAAAGTTAGATCTATTTTCAAATTGAAAGTGGTGTATGTACTAGAGTGAACTGCACAAGATTCATGGTGTACTTTTAACTGCTTTATTTAAAATTTATTGTATTCTATTGTAAAAGAAGTCATGTTTTGAACCTCATGTTATATTTCTGTAAATTATTTTATCAAGAAAAAAAGAGAAAAGAGATCTTCTTATCATCTCCTAGCATATTCAATAACTGTAAATAAATTGACTATAAATGATAGGTAACTCATCACTGTGAATATATGAACATATGTCTTAAGTGATAAACATAAAGTTTTAACCCCTAGTGTAATCCATTGTACACTTTTTATTTTTGATTTGACATTTCATTGAGTGTACATTTTGAACCACATAATCGTAGTCAGAACAACATAACTATGTGGGGAATTGATTTCATTTTACACGAGGAAACAGCAGTCAAACGTTTTGTCGAAGAGACCTTACAAAAAGTGTGTTTTTGCAACAACTAACGGTATTAACCTTACTTACTAAGAAAAGCAACGTTTTATCCAGATTCATCAATTGAAGTAAAAAAATTACAATTTTTAACATTAAGGTGGTACCTAACACTACAGGGAGATAACTCTGTAAAAATCAGCTAAACGTTTTAATTACGTTGTATTGTTAAGGAAATATTAAGCTTCTCAATGATCAAAATTAGTGTTTGTCAAACTGCTATATAACCAATGAAATTTTTCTGATAAAGTGGTTGGTTCAAATTTTTTGAATTTTTCATATTTTTGTCAAAGGGTTTAGGTAAACATTTTGTCAAAATTTTATGAAAATTAAACGAGCCAAATTAATATTAGTCAATGTGTTGGGTACCACCTTAAATGGGTCGCTATATTATAGGTATAAGTTTAATATTATAGCTTAAAATCAAAATCCAAAAGTAAAGTAGGGGGTATTGTAAGGTAAGAGAGTAGTTTACTGATGCTTAAATCTCACAAATTCATCAAGAAGATACATATCGAGGTAAACAAAAAACAGTGTGAATCCATGTTTGATCCATCAAATAAGAAAAATATCTCAATCCTTCAAATTAATGTTTTTTTTATAAATGAATAGGCTAATATAATTATTACACTCTTGTACTAAATTATCCGCTTTGATGTCATTGTTACGTCATAAACACGTTGGAGTTAACATATTTAACCGAAATGGACATTTTAGCTATATATGAGCTTAGATCTTACCCCAAAAGATGTTTTTTTAAATGTTATTTTCTTGATCATTTACCCACATTTTCATCTTTGTATAAGTCATCTTAAGGCAAAATATCTTCTTGGGTAAGGTCTTGACTTATGTGTTTTAATGACAAGTTCTCAAAATGAGGCTATGGTGGTACTTTTTGCAGTTTTTACATTTATAGCAAGACATGCGAAGCCCTAAAGAAAATATGGATGGGAACATTCTCAAATAAAAGTACTGATATCTGATAGATTTAAGTCTTGTGAACATCATATAGGATATATTTGATAGATACACTATACTAGTTGATTTTAGAAATCAAGGAGTTATGCCTCCTTTTTTCCTTATAAATTATCTTGTCGTAATTCTTTACTTTAAATAAATTAGTTATACTATTTTAGTATATACGTAAAATCCATTATTTAAATGAGGCATGTTTGAACTTAAAATAAGACAAAGGCTAATACAACGAGGTTAGTATATCCGTGTTATCCAAATTTTATGATTTTGCCTATTCTAGGCATAACTTTTTAATTTTGAATGTGATTTGGAAAAATGTATTTTCTTGTATGTTATATTTGTTTGTTTGTCATACATAATAGTGAAAACACTTAACCGCATAACATACATTGAATGGCAACTTCCGTCGATAAACAATTAATTGCATTTTCCATATATTTTTTCCATCACAAAGCATAAGAATAATACGTTGTCAGTTGGTATATTTTATATTTTACCATGTCCAGTAATGATAACTTACCTTTGTAATGCCTTTTCCCCAAAGAAGTCTCCTCTTTGAAGATGGCGAATAACTTGCTCTTCTCCAGACTTGGAATTTCTTTTAGTTACTTTTACCTATTCAATTATACAGACCATAATTATTCTTCGATAAATACATTAATGAACAAATATCAACTTTACATGTCTCTATGAACTTGTTTTAATAATTGCAGCAGGGTCCGAAATAAAGGTGAAATTGTTTTATGGGAAGTCATTTTATAACTGGATTTCGAATTTACATTTTATGTTACCAATACCATCTGGATGTGATCCATAGAACATTGAAGAATATAAAACGACATAAATTGTTGATAATTAGAATGTTTCACAGGTATAATAGTAAATATATATGACCATACAGAACTAAACTGCTTTTGGATATTTTATTATATGTAGTTATTGCTTTTCTAAATAATTCACAAGTCAGTTTATGTGCATATGGTGCAACAAAATTATTTCGCAGTCTCATTTTTTTGGCATTACTATACCAATGTGTTGATGCCATCAGACCTTGTTGATAAATATTCCGTATCAACTTCACAAATGATGCATGATGGTCTTGAAGTATAGATTCTAGGTACTGACGTTGTTTGTCATCTTAATTACGTGTTAAAGTTTCCTTGTTTTGTCCTTGTATATTTTTAACCTTTGCTGTTTAGTCCATTTTTGCTTATATACATATGACGTGGTTCGGTAATGTTATACATCCCGCCATTGTGTTAGTGTGCTATGGTCAATTTTAAATTATTGTCTTTCATTTTTGCTTATGTACTTTGTCTATATGCCATTTTGTGATTCTTTGTTGAATCAGTTATTTGTTTTATTAGTGATTAACATTATATTACCATGTTGACTGCTGTACCTCAATTTTTGACGTTTTTACCTATTATGTCTGTTTGTTTTGCTCACACATTGTTGTCAATATAATGGAATTCAATGCGAGTGTCATACAAGTGAGAGGTTTAGCTAGCTATAAAACCAGGTTCTACATGAGGAAATGCCTGTACCAAGACAGGAATATGACAGTTGTTTTCCAATCGTTAGATGTGATTGAGCTTTTGATTTTGCCATTTTATAAAGGACTTTCCGTTTTGAATTTTCTTTCCAGTTCGGTATTTTTGTTATTTTACTTTTTTGTAGATTGTAATGACTATGATATTACATACACATTTGAGAAAATACGTATTTCATTTTATTCAAAGGTTAACATCTCGTACCACATGTATTCGTGAGCTGCTTTTGGTGCCTTTCTCACTGTTTAGGACTTTTTCTGACTCTTTTGATGTGTTTCTATTCAACGAATACATTTGGTTTCAAGCACTTATGAGGAGAAATAATGTTTTGAAATGTCTATAAAGTGCATCAAGTTAATGTCGGTCTACTTATTGGTATTATGAAATTGTTCGCCTTTTTCTTTAAGTGCGGTGTATGTTTACGTTTTCGAAAAAAGTTCACTCAGTTATTGTTTATACTTGGTATACATGATATATATTGGCAATTGTCTCATGTTCACCTACCCAACAATTGTCTCATTGTGCGTTTGCGTTTTAAAACGAAGTTTACATTCCAATTTTCTAAATACAGATAATATGAGTCATAGGATAAATCCTACCCAGACAACATACATCTTATCTTACAATCTAATTATTCGATAAAGTAATCAGTTTAATCCTGACCACTTGCTGATTGAAAGCTCATCTTTATCTGATATTGAAGACTCCTAATTAACTTAAACTTGTGTGAAATCAGTTTCAGCTGAATGTTATAGAAATATATTGTGTTACGTTCTGATTGCAGAATCTCGTGAGTCTGAAGAGGAAACACTTATCTCAGTTTCAATCCTAACAACAGCAAATGAACAATCTTGCGAATACCATTTTCCTATTAAATTACTGGTGAAGTGTATACTAGTACCAAAAAATAAGTGAACAGGGAAATAACGATTTCGAACCAAGGGAACAATGCAGTGAGAGCTGGTGAACAACAAAAGAAAGAAATGTATCTGAAAGTATTAAGAAAAGATCGTATGGTGCTGATTTCAAGTCTCATGCCAATAGAACTGGCCAAAATATATATGTTGCTGCTGAAGGTCTAGGATAACGCAAAGTGCATTTTTAAAATGACGTATTGCTAAGTGGTACAAGTCGATAATGGGTAGATTAATTACAAGACAGACTTGAAACACATTTGGAAAACTATATGCATCAACATTCCTTTGAAAAAGTGTGAGAAAAAAATTTATTACCAATTATTCAAATGTATTTCTTTTAATTTCAAAATGGAACTCACCTTTCCCTTTGCTATGATAAAGAATGTATCACCTCTAGCACCTTGTCTGATGATGTATTCGCCATTGTTGAAATGTGTCTGAAAATAAAATGAAAAAAAATATTAAGATGTATTATGGATGAAAAGAATAGTAAAAAATAAAATAACAAAAATACCATAATCCCAAGAAAAATTCAAAACGGAAAGTCGCTATCAAATGGCAAAATTAAAATCTCAAACATATTCCTGACTTGTAAAAGGACATTTGATTACTTATCTTAAGTATTGCAGATATACGTCGACTCGTATGTGCGATAGAGACACTTAAGGGTGATGGTCACACGGAAGTACTATGGTCTGCGCCGAAGTGCGATGATCAGTTCGCTGATGTGCGATGGTCTATATGACACGTAATAGCTAGTTTAAAATCTACAAATTTGCAATTTTTATGAAAAAAACATTTTAAAAGTTATAGTATACAAATTTACATTCATTATTATCTATGTATATCCTTGGTTACAGTTGCATACTAAATGAGAGATCGTCCTTTTATTTTCTGCATGTGCACATAATTCTGCGTTATTTTTATTTTTTCTCATGAATTCATCGGTAGCTGTAATATTATGATACGGTGAGTCTGTCTGTGGACTCGTATGTATTTAGAGAATGCAACGCTCCATCGTATGTATAAAGCAACAGAAGGTTTAGGTTCCCCTCTCCGCAATTACTTCACATTTCCCGTAGTATTAAAAGTCTATAAGTCCCCTGTTACCTTAAAAACACGGAAAACTGCTTCTATCAAACAAATTGACCTCTACATCGACATGAAAAGCATTGCAACTATAGTTTATGTATTCCATCGCACCTCAAATCACCACCAACACACTTCGGCTCCACTATCAACAAGATAGTGTCACAATGCCATCAACGCACTTCAGCGATATTAAAAACACAATTCAGCGTCAAACCATCGCACTTCAGCGTGACCATCGCGGTTCAGAGTACCATCGCGGTTCAGAGTCCTACATATATATATAGGGTCCACTTAATACAAAGTCCCTGAAGTCAAAAACGCAGCGCTAAGGATAATGGTAAGAAATTTATATAAATAGGATAAAATGGATGATGGACTTCTAGTTGTTCAATTTAAGCGCCAAATATTAAACTCTTCCCGTTTTAATAAACATATAGTTTTGAAAATATCCAGCGCCAATTAATAATGTAGAAATTTGCCTGCCATTTTCTAAAAACTACATTTCTTAATATTGACACACAGACACCGATTTTCAAATTTATTTTCACTCTCCAAAAAATGTATTCTCTAGTTCATGCAGCCTGGATGATGATTAATTAATAATATTTTCTTTATTGGTTGTTAAACGTACAGTGTCACATGTATTCTTTTACATTGAACCAGAGCCAATGTTTAAATGAAAATATTAATTTTTAACAGAAATAACAATAAAAATAAATAATTAAATCGGATGAAGTAGAACTTGGTCTTCGGTTTCTGGTAATTTTGTCATACAATTTTAAGCAGCGATTTATTAAAATGTAGTTCTTGTATTTTCAGACTTTACTTAACGTTTGTAATTTAAGCATCATTCAAACGTCCATTATCATTCACTAAATAAATGATGTCAAGGTCAAATGTTTTCCCATAATTATCAGGTGTTTCATATATGATCAATATAACCAAACAAATCAATTTTACCAGGCAAAGAAAGATGCGAGGTAAGTTAAGAGGATTTCTTTGCTTTTGTTGACTATATCGATAAACAATCGATTTCAAGCTCATTCCAAGTGATATAAATAGTACCAATATTACCTCCTTGTATAAACATCGGAATAGTTCAAAGTATTTGAAAACTTTTTTCGAGATAATTTACCACATTAAAGAAGAACCTGGTGATAATTTCTCTACTAATGGATTTCAGTTTTAGTTAATTTCAATATCGTTTTCACTCTTCGTGTACAATAGACTATTTTCATATTACCGACTTTTGACTCCGGATTATATAATTTGTCGACTGGTTACCTTGGACATCATGGTACTCGGTCAAGTAAGAGCAACCAAAATAAGTGAAATCAAACATATAATCGGTGTAGCGGAGGGGTCATTAAGTTTTACCCTTGTCCGTCTGTAAGTCCGTCCGTCCGTACGTACGTCCCAAAATTGGTTTCCGTTCTCTCACTTAAGTTTGCCTCAACCAAATGTTATGAAACTGATACACAGTGCTTATTTAACACAATACACAGGTCAAGTTTGAATTTGGGTGGCGTCACTTTTACCATTCTAGAGTTATGCCCCTTTATCTTTTTTAACAAAAAGCCCAGTATCACAACTTCGTGTGTGTATTTTCAGGTTTTAACGATTGTATATGGTTTATTTCTAAACATTTGACCACATTACAATGCCAATGGTTTGTTACAAATTGCACTTTATAAGTTTTTGGTTTCTGTTTTTGAATTTATCAAAACAAAAATGTCTTTGAAATTAATTCTACGTATTGTATTTCTGATCCACATTAATTTATAAAACTGTACAATTTGCAATATTGTATTGAAATGGAATCCACTTTAGATTGTACAGCTTTTTATATTATTACAATGTTGACTCTGTTGGTGAAACAATTTCATGAGAAATAGGCCCGATCTCTTTGAATTTGGGTACATAATGAATTTAGACGCCTTGAAGACTCCATGTAATGTAGAGGATTTAATTTTATTTCGTTTCTTGTAAATAAATTAAATTAACTTCATTTGAGCCTCTAATGTAATACACTGGAATGTTTTGTCTGTGATGATCTGTGGTAGCTTAGTCTATAACCCAAAAGTGCAAAAATTACCGTAATTCAACAATTTGTACTAAATGTATGAAATGTAGATATACATATATTTGAATTCCAAAGCTACATAACATTATTTTAACTCTCTGGCAACAAGCTTTACAACTATTAAATAAGCATTAAGATTCTGAAATACGGATAATGTGAACTACTGGCATCAAAAGTTGCTAATTACAGCTATCATTTTGTCAATATTGACAGAAATACAATAGATAATGGTGTTGGTTACATACTGTTCAGTGAAAGGTATTTTGACAGAAATAACACGTTCTGTATAACTTAATTGGCAAAACGAGAAAATAAACAGACATGAGGAATGAAACATGTAACAGTGTTCCGTGCCTTTGAAGCCTTCTTTAAGTTGGATTCTGGGTCACCTAATTTATCCAGGGGACATCTCCCAGTTTTTTGTAAAGAAAATATCCTGCATGAAAAATGAAACAGATAACTTGATTGATTAAAGGACAACGGCAAACATTTAAGTAGTACAAAATATTGCAAAGCTAAATAGAGAAATGAAACAAAAAATATATCATTTGACTCAACATCTACTTGTAAATACAATTAAGCCATATAACAATAATAATTGTACTAAAAAAATATAAAAAAAGAACTGCTTTGAAATGGCCCTTCAGATTTAACAAATTATGTTGAAATAATTTAATTGTAAAATCTAAAATAAGCTATACCCCCAGTAAACCGGGTTAGTGGCACAATGGTAAGATTTATTGGGATCAAACTACAACAGAGCACACATATGTTGCCAAGATTTCAAAGCAAGATAATTCGCAAACCATTAGTTTAATGAGGTATACTCTATATATATATATACGTCCTAACATCTTCACCTCACTGCTTAGTTTGGAGAGTGTAAATTCCCGGTTTTATTTAAATTGTAATAACGTCATTAGCACTTAGACATGTCTGATTCATATTGTAAACTTAGCTTATATTTGTCACTAAGTTCATGGTCTATTATTTCACAGTCAATTGGCAACGGTTCAATTATGTTATGACAATGCGAATGGTTATTCTACAATACAATGACAGTTCACGAATAAGAAAATGAACTTGCGGTCCGAATTCCTGTAATTTATATTTTTTGTACACATATTTTGTAGAAGTCCTCAGGTACATATTTCCGGAAGAGACTTAGAATTGCAACGTTTACCACAGCGATTATGGAATATTCAAAACGATAGCAAACGAAGTATTCACTCGTAAAAACATTTATTTCATATATTAAACACACACGTGATTCAAACATGTTTAACCGATATCACAGTATTTGAATTGTATACGTCATTGTTATAAATTCAAAAACAGTTAACAACCAATCTATCTAACTATTTCTATTTGTATCTGTAAAACCATTATATATTATCTTTTTTTCTCGATACTTACCGAAAATGTTTCTCTCCGGTTATTCTTACTCTAGTTAAGTCAAATGGCAGTAATTTGCATGTACGACTGCCGTGAGTTAGTACGAATGCACCGTAGAACGTCATGTTAAATATACCGATAATGTATTGTGATAGTTATTACGCTAATTCTATTAAAATGGCGTGAAAAAATGTTATCTTATCCGGAAAAATAACACTCATTACTTTTAACAACATCTACATAGTTTACTTGAACAATATTTTGTATTATTTTTTTATTTTAATAATTTTTTTCTTTGATGAAAAGTTTCATGAATAACGTTTACTATTTTAGTATTTCTAAAAAAAAAAAGCGGATAATGACGGAAAATATTCTAACCGATAATGTTGCTGAAAAAAAATAATTAAAAGCCAAGACGACTAGAAAAGGTGAATTTCCAAATCAGAAGAGTTATATGTATTTATTGCATGAACTGCTTCATCGTTTACGAGAATTGTTGCGAAACATTGCGAATCTGGGCATATTACTAATTTTCATAGAAGGTGAAGCTTACCGTGTAGACGCACCTTGCATTTATTCAAATGTCTTGCGATCAGACGTCAACCTTCATAAACTAAACAAATGGATACTGTTCGTGAACCGTGCGACCTTTTACGAAAGGTAAGCTTAATCTCACTCTATTTGCAGTTAAATTTCATTCCAGGACCTATGTTTGTCTGCTTTCTACCGGAATTTTGAAACGTTCAAACATCGGTATATATTACCTTCATAATGTTTAACTTTCAAATCTATTTGTAAACTAAAAAGAACTCGGCTGTGAGAATATTTGATCATATTTTAACAGATGTTTTTACAGATATCCGTCTG